TTCCGGCCCTCCGGTCCAGTTTAAGAACCCATTGTGGCCCTCGAGTCAAAAAGTTTGCCCACCCCTGTTCTAGGTGGTCCGGTCCTGCCCATTCCTGGGGCTCCAGTCCAGGCTGCACCTGTAGCCTGGCCTCCTGTCAGGTCGGATTCTTTGCCATTCTCTCTGGCAGGAGAGCTTCCTTCCTCTCGGTTCACCCAGTAAACTCCTGTTTATCCTTCAAGCTGCAGCGAAGGTATGGCTTCTTCCAAAGCCCCTTTGCTCACCTGTGTTTTCTTCCCCAGACGGTTAAACACTTGGTCAGCTCCAGCACAGCCTGCCTCTGAGGCAGCACTTCTCCCAGGTGTGAGCCCCCACCGTCAAGCTCCGGGGCAAATGTTACTTTTTCATATTTAAACCCCTTGGTGCCACATCTGACACTTAGTAGGACTGTCAGGACATATCTGTTGAATTAAATTTACTTGAGTTTTCCAAAAAATTTGTCTTCCTTTCAGTGATTCAGTGATTCTTTCCAGAGGTTTAGCCAGCTAATTGTGCGAAAGGCTTCCTTGGACTGATAGCAGTTGCCCTTCAGCATCTCCTGTGTGTCAGGTACTCCAGTAAATGCTTTATGTACATTAACTCACTTAACCCTGTGAGGGAGGTTCTAGTGTTCGCCCCATTTCACAGACAGGTATTTTGAGGTTGATGTAGCTGGTAACTGACCAAGGCAGGATTCAAACCGGGACTGTGTATTTCAATCCAAATTCAGGCTCTATCCTTCGTCTATGAACTGAGATCTACCTGTATTCTCATCTTGACCGTGGTCATCTAGACTTTTCAGAAGTACAATTTTATTGCCAATGCAAGCTGAACTTCCCAGTGAGGAAAACAGTCGAGGGTTTTTGCTTAGACCGGACTCTTGAGGATCATCTCCATTGTTTATCTGTACCCATCCTTTAGGTGTGTTGTCCTAAACGGCCCAAAACCAGGAAGAGAAATACAAGCCTCAATAGCTACGCCCCTGTGGTTTGAGTCTCTCCCTTAAATGACTGGCACTTCTATGCCACATTTTCTCTCTAGAGGAGAAACTTGGATCATTTCTTTAGGAAGCGTTGAGCACTGTTTTGGTCGCAGGCACTGTGCTAAGACTGAAAGTTCTTGGCCCTTCGTGAGCTCACAATCTAACAGGGAGACAACATGCATACACATTCTGACTGTAAAACTAGGTCAGTAAAAAGGGCACTGAACTGAGTCTGGAAGACCTGGATCCAATTCTGAGTTCATATCTGCAACTGCAAAATCCAAAAAGCTCTGAAAACTGACCCTTGTGTTTTTTTTTAATGTTTTTGTTTTTGCATAACTCCTTTGGAGGCAAAACCTGATCTCTCACATGAAGTTTTATATGGTCATTATTCATTCCACTTAGTGTGATGATTCATACGTTTTGCTGGAAAACAGTGTGTCTGATCATAGAATGCTGCCCCAGCCCCCACGTGGGGTATAGATAATACATGGTTCAGAACCCTGAAGTACATGCATCTCACCCCAGGAGTTTTGGGAAAGGAATGTGAAGTTATACCTTATGATCAATTGAAAAAAATCTGTGAAAAGACTTCATAAACTAAAAAGCCGTGAACTCGGGTAAGATAGTCTCATGGTATGATCACTGTGATTGGGAGCATGCAAGATAGAGCACGTGACTTTTTCCAGGGCCAAGAAGAGTGAAAAAAGATGTCTTAGGGGAAGTAAAATTTGAATTGGGTTTAAAGGGTGAATGGAATTTTTCACTTCATAGAAAAACTGTGGAAAAGAAATTCTGGGCTGAGGCAAGAACATATAGAAAATGCAGGAAAAACGTGTCCTTAAGTAACTTGAGTGCATGGACTTTTCAGCTTACAGAAAAATGGATTATCTGTGAAAATGCAAGAGAAGCAGTACAGATTACACCGAGGGGCCCCTAGTCCCCAGTCCATGTGCTCTGGGCAGGGTTTTTCTTTGCAATGCAGGCTTACACGTGCGTTCACAGAGAAACACCATGGCCTGGCAAATGCCTCCCTGCTTAGCCAGCTGGGAAGCTGCTGACTTCTCCGCCTTGCCAGGCCCATTCAGCAAGGATCGAGTCCGCACACTGCTCCTGGCTGGTGCTCGCCTGGCTGCCCTCTGCTCGGTCGGGGGAAGCCACTAACCATCTGGCTTCTCTAGCATCAGACTGCCAGGTTCACATCAGATCAGCCATTCACTACTTTTGGTGGCCTTGAGCAAGTCATTTACCTCTTTTGTGCCTTTGTTCCTCAGGCATAAAATCAGAATAATAGTAGAAAGCTGGCATGGAAAGCACTTAGAAGAGTGACTCACTGGTAAGCACTCAAAACAGTAGTTATTACTGTTATTACTGTTACAAGGATCCCCCCTCCTCCAGCTGTATAAATGAGTGCATTCCTTAATATTTACCTAAAAAGGAGGGGAAATCCCTTTCTTAATTCTCTCTGCCCTAGTCATCAACTTCTTCCTAGTTAACCACTTTCTGTAGAGACTATTTCTGTTTTGGTTTTTTATAGCTAGCTGTTTCTCAATCATGGTGAGAAATGGCCCCCCTTAATTTGGTCATAATCTGGCCCTAGCCAGTTTGGCTCAATGGATAGAGCATCAGCCTGCAGACCGAAGGGTCCCAGGTTTGATTCCGGTCAAGGGCTTTTACCTCAGTTGCAGGCTCCTCCCTGGCCCAGGCCCTTGTCAGGGCTCATGCAGGAAGCGACCAATTGATATGTGTTTCTCTCACATCAATATTTCCCTCTGTTTTTCCCTCTCTCTTTCTCCCTCTCTAAAAATCAATGGAAAAATATCCTCCGGTGAGAATTAAAAAAAAAAATTGGTCATAATCTGGTACGGGGATTTCCAGATTGGGGTCCCTAGATCTCCAGGGGTCCTGTGGGCAGTCATGTGGATTCCCACACTAATTTCAGCATACCGATACAGAGGAAGGTAAATAAGAGTGCTGACTTTGAAGAGAAGCCTTGCTACGAACCAGTTATCTTACCCTGTGTCAATTCCATAATCGCTGGCAGCCTCCATTTCCTACTTTGATAGAATAGAAATATTGATCTGGCTGGGTGGTCCGGTTGGTTGGAATGTCGTCCGGTACACCAAAAGGTTGCAGGTTCGATTACTGGTCAGGGCACATACCTAGGTTGCAGGTTTAAACCCCAGTCGGGGTGCGTACAGGAGGCAACTGATATTTCTCCCTCACATCGATGTTTCTCTCTCTTCTCTTTCTCTCTCTCTCTCTCTCTCTCTTCCTCTCTTCTCTTTCCCTTTTTCTCTCTCTTTTTCCCTTCCTCTCTCTAAAATCAATAAAACATATCCTCGGGTGAGGGTAAAAAAAGTATCTATATATAAAAAATGGAAGTATTAATACTTTCCTCACAGGAGTGTTACATCTTACATCAGGTCATGTATTTGAAACCTTCAGCACAGGACATTGTGTAATAAATACCTGCCACCATTAATTTACTGTTAGTATAAGACATTTCTTAGAAATCACACTTTACCCCAAGATGGAGCCTCAGATATAATTAAGAGGTCAGATTTCACAGGAAGTGGATGGAGTTACATCAGTTTAGTGTGGCGGCATTGTTGCCCAGTGCTAAGAGTCCCTGGTTGGCAGTTCTGTGTGCCTTTATTAAGTAAAAATGAAGAGAAATATTGTCCAACAAGTACATTTGGGCAGAGAAAGCATTGCAGACATGAAGTCGGGGGCGTGTGGAGAAGGACAAGGAGTCCAGTGGTAAAAGTCACAAGGACCCACCAGTTCAGTGCACTGATCAATGCTTGCTAGTTGTAAGGTCTCCTTTCTAAAAAAACAAAAATAACACATGGACATTGTCTCAGGCCTTCCTCAAAAGCCCGTTGGCGTTTTACCCATGAACCAAAGTCCCAGAGGTGTCTAGGGCCCACTGAGACCAAAGGAGGTAGTTATCACACAGACTTGAAGTGGGGGATGCTATTGGAAGTGATGGCGTGCAAACCACCAGCACCTGCCCCCGCTTTTACCAATGGAGACACAGAGGCCTCAAGCAGGAAGGAGACTTGCTGGGGTGGCAGCTGTGCATGGCAGGGCGTCACACCCAGGATGCTCAGCTCTGTCCAGCATCCTTTCCAACAGGCCAGGATCCTCATCCAGAAGAAGCACCGCTCCAGGGGGTGAGCCATAGCCACCCAGGGAGTCCTTTCTGACCTACACAGGCCACCTCTCTACTTCCCCCACCCTCCCCTCTCCCTGTGTGTTTTATGGGGGAAAAGAAAGTGGAGAACGAAGGACCAGCCCAGGGTGTCCCAGGTGTGCCCGTCCCTAGGAACTAGTTGGAGTGCCCCCATCTGGAGATTCTGGTTCAGCGGGTCAGAGTGGGGCCTGAGAACCTGTATCAGTAAGCACACACATCAATAAGCAGGTTTGGGGGAACACAAGGCTAATCGGGCCAGGGGGATTTTTAACTCTTTTCTGTCCTAGAGAGGACAGTGAGGGTGAGAGGTCACTAGGGATTTCCCCCTTGCAGGCCTGACAGGCTTAACCTGCATCCTGTGCTAATTCCTTACAGCTCCCTTCTCTTTTCTGACGAAACCGGAATTCCTGGGCACACAATGGCAGCTCAAAAAGTGTTGCTGACTGACCTACTCTGGGGAGATGATTTGAGCAAAAGATGCCCCATCTAGCCTTGGTAGGTTTCTCAGTGGTTAGAGCATCGGCCTGCCCACCAAAGGGTCTCAGATTCAATTCCTGGTCAAGGGCACAAACCTAGGTTGCAGGTTCCATCCCCGGCCCCAATCGGGTCGTGTGCAGGAGGAAACCAATCGATGTTTCTCTCTCCCCGCCCTCCTCCTTCGCTTCCATACTGTCTGAAAATCAATGGGAAAAAATATCCTTGGGTGAGGATTTAATTAGTTAATTGATTAATTAAAAATTAAAAAAATATGCCCGGTCTAGCCTGAGTGGCATTAACATCTCTCTTTGGCTTTGTGCTTAGACTGAAGAACCTGGAGCTAGCTGCCGTGGGCGGATCAGACGTCCATGTGAAGATGCTGGCGGCCCCTATCAATCCATCTGACATAAATATGATCCAAGGTAACCTTGGTTTCTGTGGCTTATGTTAATTGGCTGGGGTTTTTTTTTTCTTTTGCTTAGCCACCACCTCATTTTCATTCCTCCTCAGGTGTGGGTGTGAAATTCCTGTGATTAGCAGCAGCTGTTCTCCAGATGTGCCTTCTGCAGACTGTGGAGCCCCCCTGGCCTCCCCTCCCTGGGTGTGAGGCTTTTCAAGCGTTAGGGAGGTTGCAGTAGGAGTAAAGCAACCACAGTGATGTGCCTGTAAAATGCTGGGCTCATTGCACACATTATCTTAGCCAGCCTTCCATCTAGTCAGTCTTCCTATAACCACGAAAGCAAAGGAGCATTGTCCCCTTTACAGGTGTAGGAGCTAAGGCCCAGAGCTGGTCAGAGGCAGAACCCAGCTTGGGCTTAGGTCTCACTCCAAAGGCCACGGTCTCACCGCCTGCACCTTGTTGGATGACCCTCTGTGCTCTTGTCCCTTAGGTAATTATGGCCTCCTTCCCCAGCTGCCTGCTGTCGGAGGGAACGAAGGTGTCGGACAGGTGGTAGCAGTGGGCAGCAACGTGACTGGAGTGAAGCCAGGAGACTGGGTGATTCCAGCAACTGCTGGTTTGGGTGAGTTTCTCCAGGTCTCAGCAGCCTTTCGTTGTTCCAGATCCTATTTTACCCACACTGTAGAGATTTGCTCATCGGCTCAGCAGAACTAAGTGATGCAGGGCTTATTATTAAGTCCTTATACCTACCCTCCCTCCAGGGGGGTGGGATCGCTCGAATAAGGAGAGCAGGAGGTGATGTGCCTGCTCTCCCATCTCCGTGGGCCGGTGCTGATTGGAGCTGTGATTGTCTGGATCCCTACACCCCTAAATCCCGGCAGTAAGGTACAGTGAGGGAAGCAAGACAGCATCTGCCCTCCAGGAGGTTAAGGACTGATTGAAGAAATCTTCAAACCAATAAGCTCAGTAAAGGGAGTGCTACCGGCTCCCAGGAAGCAGAAGGCTCTTCTGGCTGCTCTGTGCGCCTGCGTGTGGGAGAGAGAAGTCGTGGGGCGGGGCCAGGGCTTCCTGGAGGAGGAGCATTGGAACTGGCCTTGGGTGGATGGATGTTGTTACATAGAAATGAGCCAAAACGGTTGCATGTGGAGGAAACAAACGAGCAAAAGCACAAAGCCGAGTTTGGGAAGTGGTGGGCAATCCCGTGTGGCCGCCGCAGAGGATGTGCACCTGGGAGAGGGGAGCAGAAGTGAGACAGAGGGTCACGAGGTAGTGGGGCCACATGAGGGAGGCCCTGAGAAAGCCACACTGAGAGTTGGGGTCTTCCTTTACACAGAGCAAGGAGTCATTGCTGAGCTAGTTAACACTTGATGGATTTTGAGGCACAAACATTATACAGATGGATCCTGACAGCAGCCACGGGAGGGAAGCAGGACAGACATCATCCATCCCACAGGACACATCCATCCCATGGGACACGTCCATCCCAGGAGGACCTGAAGCTTGAGAAGAAGCCCTTGCCCAGACTTAAACATCAAACCGAAGGAGAGCTCACCAGGCTCTCGTCACCTCTGTTAGGACTCAGTGGGTTATAACTTACAGAGTCAACTCAAACTTGCTTTACAGAGAAAAAGAAGTTAATCAGTGTGTGGAACTAGGAAGTACGAGAAATGGAAAGCATCAGGCAGAGCTGGACCCAGGGACCCCAATGATAACAGAGCTCTGACTTTTTCTGGTTCTCCTTAGTTCTCAGGTGGGATCTCCCCACACAGTGATATAGTAATAGCAACAAATATGTATTGACCACTCCCTTTCCAACAGGCACTTTACATATATTAAGTCATTATTCCCACATGAGGTAGGTACTGTGGCTCCCATTTTGCAGATGCGACAGTAGTAAATGTAAAGAATGAAGCAACTTGCCCAGGGCCATTTAGCCAGTAAGTTGTGGGGCTAAGATTCCAACCCACTCTGCCATAGCCCTTGCATAGATGGCCACCAGCTGCCTGAGGTTTACATCATCCTGAGAACAAACAGATTCACACGTCCTCCACAGTCCGTTCAGCACAACCATATCCATCCAACTCTGCCTGGGTCCCTGGCCGTCCATGAACCCATCCCAAGGTCATGGGGTGGGCCACTCCAATTGCTTAGTTCAGTGGTCGGCAAACTGCGGCTCGCGAGCCACATGTGGCTCTTTGGCCTCTTGAGTGTGGCCACAAAGTTTCAATCGCACTGTATGTGCGCGCCCGCACGTGGTATTTTGTGGAAGAGCCACACTCGAGGGGCCGCAGTTTGCTGACCACTGGCTTAGTGGAGTCTCTTGCCCACCTCTGTGGTACAGAGGTTAGGAAGGAGTAGTTCTAGAAAGAAAAAGGTATCTGGCAGGAAAAAAACAATGGTAACAGAAGTCTATTAGAAGCTGCTTGCTTCCCTGAGATCAGGAAAGCTGCCAAGAGTGCTGCACCCTCTTCAACAGCACCTGCCAGGGAAAGCCTGGCTGTGTGAGCAAACAGGGCTGCGAGGATTCACTGGATACTGACTGGTGCCCTGGGCCAGCCCCCGGCTGAGTGCAGGGCACACGTGGTGGGTCAGACAGTCTGCCGGCAAAGTAGTCTTGGCTGGGAACAGAAAAACAGCCCTTAATACAATGCAGTATGATAAGTGCTATAACCACAGGATGAACACAAAAGTAGGAGTCCCCTATCGCGAGCAGCTTTAGGAAAGGCTTCCCAGAGAAGTGCTGCTTGAACTGGGTCTGGAAGACTGAGTAGAAGTGCAGTCAGTGGGCTAGTGAGCAGGGGCGTCCCAGGCTGGGAGTACAGCACATGCAAAGGTCTGGCGATGGCGGAAGGCCAGGCACCAGCAAAACTACAGGTAGCTCAGTTTGGCTGGGTCAAGGGAGGGATGGTGGAGGAGCAAGATGAGGCTGGAGAGGTGGGCTGGAGCCCAGTCATGAAGGGCTCACATCCACGGTCAGAGGAGCCTGATGAAGAGTTAAGAAGAGCACTGGTTTGATCAGACTTGTGCAGTGCAGAGAGGGCTCAGGAAAGCCAGGGGCCCCGTGGAAGCAGGAAGCAGGTAAGGAGGGGGCTGAACATTCAGGCTGCAGATGGTGAGTGTCTAAAAAGACAGTTCCATGGGACTGGAGAAGACAGTGGATTTAAGAGCTTGGTAATTATGTTTGGAGAGAGGAACAAAGGACATCTGCCAGGTGTGTGGGTAATTTCATGGGTGGTGGTGGTGGTGGTGGTAGCCAGAACAGGGATTTCTCCCTGGGGAAAAGGCGTGTCTTTTAAACCAGGTGCCAGTCAGAGAGGATGAGGGTTTTATAATTATCAGGACTATAATTAGCTCAGTTTATTCAGTAAACATTTTATGAACATCTGTAGTGTGCTGGGCTCTAGCATACAGCAGTGAACAGACACGGTCTTCTAGTTAAGACTGCAGTTTACTAAGAGTGGCAATCAGTAGGCAGATAAGTGCTCAGCGGCCTGAATCTTGGTCATCTTTTCATGGTATTGAGCTGCTTAGCTGTTGCTGTGGCCATAGCCAGATTTTTCCCACATGCAACCCAACTAGTCCCCAGGGCAGCCGGGCCAGAGAATATGCGAACTGACTTTCTCACTGGAAACCCTGCTGGGGCAATACGGGGCAGCAGAAGGAGCCCTGGCCTGGGAATCAGATGCAGGTTCTCCTTCCACCTGTCCTGTATGATCTTAAGTCACAACTACTTTGAGCCTCAGTTTCCTCATCTCTAAAATGGAGCTAATAGCCGTTGCCTTGCATATCTCCGCTAACTCCTACGCAGCTCAACTGAGGCAATACATGCAGTGACCTTTGCAAACACTCAATTTCTCTATGCATTAGATCAGGGTTGGCAGACTTTTTCTTAAATGGCCAATTAGTAAATATTTTAGGCTTTGCAACCATCTACCTCTACTCAAGTCTGCCATTCTAAGTGGCCGTAAACAATACAAAAGAAGTGTGTCTGGCTGTGTTCCAATAAAGCTTTATTTACAAAAACAGGCAGTGAGCCAGATTGGCCCGTGGGCCATAGTTTGCCGACCTGCGTTAGATGGTGGAGATGGTTAAGGGTCCGTTGCACATGCGTGAGGAATAGCGATCCTCAGAGCAAGGGCATGGGACTTAGGACCAGTAAAGGGAACCACGGGGCGTTACACACCTTCTACACACTAGGCTCAGTGATAGTGTACAAATGCCATCACATTTCATCTCCACACTACAGCGTGAGTGCTATTCTCCGCATTTCATAGCTCAGGGAAAGTGACAATCAATTAGCAAAATCAATTGAGTGAGTGGCAAACAGAATTTTTTTTTTACTAAAATCCAAGAAAGTGAAGTGAGAAATTTAAGTCACACCACTAGTGGGTGGCAGAGCTGGGTTTTTAAACAGGTCTCTCCAACGCCAAAGCCGAAGGGTTTCTCCTTTAAATCCCTGACAGCCCCTGGGGCTGACCATGGGTGCTGTCCCCATCCCACCCAGGTCCTCTTGAGAAGAGGAGTAGGGACAGCCAGGCCCCAGAAATCCATGTCAAGGGCTGAATATCCATTGTCGTGCCATTACGGGGAATTAGAAGATCCCCTTGATTTCATGCGTTAAAGCCATACACGAAATGATTGGCACAGAGTACAGTGAGTGATGGCTAAGATGAAGGGGGTGATGCTTCTGAAGAGGACAGTGAAGATTTTAAAACCAGGCTGGGTGAAGCCCAGAGAATGCCAAGGCACCTCCTGGATCCCAGAGGAACCCTTCAGCTTTGTAGCCTCTTATTTTCCCAACCACAGATCTACGCTGGGATTGACACAGCCTCGAATAGTGTTGCTGCCTCCCATCCCCAGTTCCTGTTTCCTAAAGCCTCCCCTCCTGCAGCACAGTTAGTAATCGCCTAGGCTGCCCCCTACTCCCCGTACCTGGGACATGTGTTACCAGGATACTGTTTGAATCCCAGCAACCGGATGAGTGCACACAATCGAGAGCTTTGGAAGTGTGGGCCCAGCGCCCTGAGACAGCACAGCCCTCAGACGCTGAGCCCACAGGCGCCCAGTGGTTTCCCTAAGTCACCTTGCGAGTACTTGGCAGAGCCAGGGCTTGAATCGGCATCTGTCTGACTCCAAGGTCTGTCCTCGTCACCTCTGCTATACATGGGATCCTGCTGCAGTGGCGAGCACCCGTCACCCAATGCCCATCACCCCCTGTTGACTCACCTTCAACAGATAATTCGAATCCATCTACTTTCCTTCATCCCCACAGCCGAAGTCTTGGTCTAGGAACCATCGCCTCACATCTCAACCCCTGCAAAAGCCTCCTGATTGGGCCTCCGCATTTCCCTCTGTCCCTCGCCACCCCACTGTCTTTTCCTCACAGCAACACCGTGACCTTAAAGCATAAATCCGATGGCCTCAGAGTGCCCTTAAAGCTCATTAGAAACTTCCCATTCGCCAAAATAAAATCCGTTCTCCATGCCATGACCCTGAGAGCTATCTATGGTTTTCACACTGCAGGTTGTGACCCATTAGCAAAATCAATCGAGTGAGTGGCAAACAGAATTTTTTTTTAACTAAAATCAAGCAGAATAGAATAAAGAATAAGTCAGTAGGATAAATATTGTTCCATGAAAAATTTGGCTTTTGAGATAGATATACACACACACAGATATGGATGATAGATGGATAGATATTCATATATGTGTATGTACTGATTTACCACATAATTCCATGGTTCCTATGGGTCCAGATCATGAAATTCTATAAAACACTCCTTTAGCCCATGACACCTCAACCACATCTGAACCACTCTTCCCATCACTGTCCTCCAGTTCCACTCTTCTATCTGCCCTGCCTCAAAGTCTCTGCATATGCTTTCTCCTCTGCCTAGGATGTTCTTGAGTGGCTAACATCCCTATCCTTTAGCCCTTAGCCTGTCACTTCCTCAGAGAAGCGTCCCTGCCTGACTCCTATCTAAAGGGATCTCACTGCTGTAACTCTATATAATTTATAATTATTGTATTTGTTTGTTTGTTTCTCACTTGTTCTACTCCACTAGAAGGAAAGACGCTCCTTGGCGTAAGGAATGTGTCTGTGTTGTGCAAGTGTCTGGCTCCTAGAAGGTGTGGGGCAGGTATCTGTGGCTGGAAGGGAGCAAGTCACTCCCTCCGATTCCTGCCCTGCCGATGAGGAGGTTAAACGTTGTTCTCTCAAGGGTCTTCTCAGTACTGACATTTTACAGTTCTTTTGTGTGGAACTGGAATGTGGGCTGGGGGGTTCTGATTGGTCATTCTTTCCAGTTTACAGGATTTTTTCATTACCCTTAAATCATTTGATTTGAGCAACAGCTCTCGGAGGAGGCCTGTCAGGCTCTTCTTGCCAATGTCATTTATTTTTAGAGTAACCAAAGCTCAGGTGACTTAGGGATTTGCTCAGACTAGCAGACTGACAAAACCAGGTCCCAAACGTAGGCCTTTGACTTAGACCTTCATGCTTTTTCCCATAATCCCACCCCGAGTCAAGGTGCGCTAGGTGAGAAGAAGGAGGACCAAGGAGGAAAACGAGGGCTTCTTTTTCTCATCTTCCTGGTAGTGATGATGCTGTCTTACCCTCCGTGTCCAGTAGTTTGAGATCCTTAGTCACCTGCTGGGTGACGTTAGCTAAATCTAATGGTAACTAACGCGGGAATAACAAAATCTACACCTTAATTATCCTGAGGACTCAGAGACATTCAAAAGGACTTGGAGATTTCCTTTGTCCGCTAAGCATTCTTTGAAGTCCGCTGTCCTAGGTGCCCATTTACTGAGGAGGGTGAACTGGGGTTGAGTGTGGAGAGGGGTTCCTCACTGCCCTGACCTCATCTCTTGACTCAGGAACCTGGCGGACTGAGGCCGTGTTCAGCGAGGAAGCACTGATCGGAGTTCCAAGTGACATCCCTCTTCAGAGTGCGGCCACCCTGGGTGTCAATCCCTGCACGGCCTACAGGATGCTGAAGGACTTTGAGCAGCTGCAGCCAGGTGGGAACCTGAGGTCGGAGTGGCGGCCAGGATCTCCAGACTAGGACCCCAATCCTGACGCTGAGGCCACGGGAACTTCCAGGAGAGGAAGACGGGGCCCCTAACCTGGGTGAACATGTTGTTGTTGCTTTTGCTTAGAAAGATGTTAGCTTGGTTCCTAGAAAAGAAGCTGAAACCTCATGAGGAATACTATATTCTGGAAAACTGCTGAAGGATCACATTCCCAGAGCTTGGGATGGAATCTGTCATTCAGCGAAAACATATTGGGCTGTGCTAAGCTCTGGGGATACAAAGCCAGACAAGATAGACACAGTCCCTATGTTTTCAGTAAAATGCTGAACTTAGTAATTCCACTCAGCGTTCATATAGTACTTCCCAGTTCTCACGCATGCCTTTACAAGCGTTACCACATTGAATGCCTCAAATCGTCAAAGCAGTACAGTGAGGTTGGTACCATTGGTTAAGAGCTCAAGCCCCAGGCTAACAACCTAGGTCTGAACTCCAGCTTCACCTTACACTACCTGTGTGAGCTGACCTCTCAAATCATTAGGGTGTTTTTTATCTGTAAAACAGAGAATAGGAATTTTGAGGGTTAGCTGAAACATTGCAATGTGACACTTAGCATAGGGCGTATAGTGCAGTAACCACACTGCTTTTCTTATCCTTTCTTTTATAAATGAAACGGGTCCAGAGAGGTAAATTATTTGTGTGAGATCATTTAGCAAGGAAGTGACAAAAACCAGGTGCTTTATTTGGGGTTCCCTGAGAGCAGAGCCTGAGACAAGGACAGGGGCACGCAGTTCACTGAGGAGGTGGTCCCAGGAAGCAGGAGTGAGGGAGTGGGGAGAGTGAGTCAGGGAAGGAGGAGAAGCCAGTGAAGGCTGGTTGGTGCTGTGGGCGAAATGGGAGTCCTGCTAGGAGCCCTCTAACGACCCTCATAGAACCCATCCCAGAACTAACCTCAGTGGCAGCAGGTTACCCACCAACTCTCATGCCCCATCGTGGGAGGTTTACCTTGCACACGATGCATATCCGCAAGCTGGTAGGGCCATGGAAGTCACCCGGGCTAGCTCTGTTATGCCAACGAGGAAACTGAGGCCAAGAGCTATTGGAATATGGTGGCCTCTGCAGCCCAAGGCTGGCTGAAAACCAGCCCCAGCTCCCCGCAAAGGGAGAACAGAGCAGTCCTAGCAACCCATAGTGGAGAAAGCCAGCAGGTGTGACCAGGGACCTTTGCTCAAGTTCTAGTGCAGCAAACACATTGGTCACCTGCATCTCATCCCTTCAGGCCATCCCTGATTTGGGCCACCTCTCTGGTGGACACAGCAGGGCATGCTGACACCACCCACCTCAGGTGCCCGTGTGCATCTCCACTTTCCTGTGTTGGGGCTGGTGTGGCCTAGGCTAGATCAGTGTTAAACTTATGATCTTGACCCACATTGAAATCTAACACATAGACACATATGAGTATATATAAACGGTGTCCCAAAATTCACGCAAGAAGTAATTTTGATAGAAAACACAGGTTTATAATTAAAAATTGTAAATTTTTTATTGATTCACAAAGTATACAGTATAGGGTTATGTATGGAATAGCATATCGGGTAAATGGCCTCCACGGCTTTGCTGGCACATACACACTCTTTTGTTATTGCCTGAGCAGCCGCATTTTTGAAGAAGAATGGTCCGATGATGCCTCCAGCCCAAAATCCGCACCAAACAGTGACACGTTGTGGATGCATTTGTTTCTCAACAATCACTCGTGGATTTTCTGAACCCCAAATGCGACAATTTTGTCGATTAACCAAGCCATCAAGATGAAAATGAGCCTCATCGAAATTCAGCCACATTTATGCAAAACGGTCATGGAAAATTTCAACAAAAGAGTGCGTATGTGCCAGCAAAGCCGTGGAGGCCATTTACCCGATATGCTATTCCATACATAACCCTATACTGTATACTTTATGAATCAAGAAAAAATTTACAATTTTTAATTATAAACCTGTGTTTTCTATCAAAATTACTTCTTGCGTGAATTTTGGGACTATATATATATACTAGAGGCCCGGTGCACAAAAATTTGTGCACTGGGGGGGAGGGGGGCCCCTCAGCCCAGCCTGTGCCCTCTCGCAGTCTGGGACCCCTCGGGAGATAACGACCTGCTGGCTGAGGCCTGCTCCCGGGTGGCAGAGGGCAGGCCCAATCCCTAGGTGCAGCCCCTGGTCGGGCTCAGAGCAGGGCCGATTGAGGAGCTGGGGCGCCGCCCCCTGTCATGCACAGAGCAGGGCGATCGGGAGGTTGCAATGCCACCCTCAGTCACGCTCAGGATAGGGCCGATTGGGGGGTTGGGGCACCGCCCCCTGTCACACTCAAGGCAGGGTCGATGGGGAGGTTGCGGCGCCACCCCCTGTCACGCACAGAGCAGGGCCAATCAGGGGGTTGGGGCGCTGCCCCCTGTCACACACAGAGCAGGGCCCATCAGGGGGTTGGGGAGCTCCCCCCCCCCCCCGTCATGCACAGAGCAGGGCCGATCAGGGGGTTGGGGAGCTCCCCCCTGTCACGCACAGAGCAGGGCCCATCAGGGGGTTGAGGAGCTCCCCCCTGTCACTCACAGAGTAAGGCCGATAGGGGAGTTGGCGCACCGCCCCCTGTCACACACAGAGCAGGGTGGATCAGGGGGTTGGGGCGCCGCCCTCTATCACCCACAGAGCAGGGCTAATCAGGGGGTTGGGGCGCCGCCACTGTCACACTCAGGGCAGGGCCGATGGGGAGGTTATGGCTCTACCCCATCACACACAGAGCAGGGCCCGTGGGGGGAAGGGTTTGGGGCTCCGCCCTCTATCACCCACAGAGCAGGGCTGATCAGGGGGTTGGGGCACTGCCACTCTCACACTCAGGGCAGGGCCGATGGGGAGGTTATGGCTCTACCCCATCACACACAGAGCAGGCCCGTGGGGTGGAGGGGTGGGGGCGCCGCACCCTGTCACACACAGAGCCGCAGGGCAATCAGGGGGTTGGGGAGCTCCCCCCTATCAGGCACAGAGCAGGGCCGATAGGGAGGTTGTGGCCCCGCCCCCTGTCACACACAGAGCCGCAGGGCGATCAGGGGGTTTGGGCGCTGCCCCCTGTCATGCTGATCCCAGTGCTGGGAGGCATATTACCCTTTTACTATATAGAATAGAGGCCTGGTGCATGGGTGGGGGCTGGCTGGTTTGCCCTGAAGGGTGTCCTGGATCAGGGTGGGGGTCCCCACTGGGGTGCCTGGCCAGCCTGGGTGAGGGGATGATGGCTGTTTGCAGCTGGTCACACACCCTTCAGGGTGGGGGTCCCCACTGGGGTGCCTGGCCAGACTGGGTGAGGGACTGAGGGCTGTTTTCAGGCTGGGACTGAAGCTCCCAACCGCTCCTTTTTTTCTTTTTTTTCTTTTTATTCTGGGCCAGCTTTAGCTCTGAGGCTTGGCTCCAGCTCTAAGGCCTCAGCTGCTGAAAGTAGGTATCTGGTTTGTTTAGGTTCTATAATCGAAACTCTGTATCAACTCCAGCTCTGAGATCCCAGGCTCGCTGAAAGCAGGTTTCTGGGGTTTTGTTTAGCTTCTATATTCATTACAATGTTTCTTAAACTGCAAGCTCAGAGGCCGGCAAGGCAGGCGGGGAACGTTGCAGTCCTCCGTCACTGAAGCAAGCAAGCCTCATGTTAGTTTCAAGCTGCCTGGCTGCCGGCCGCCATCTTGGCTGGCAGTTAATTTGCACATCGCCCTGATTAGCCGATGGGAAGGGTAGCAGTCGTACGCCAATTACCATGTTTCTCTTTTATTAGATAGGATATATGAAACCAGAGTTTCATGGAACCATATTTACCCTTACTATGTGCCCTTCCTGCTGCCTTTCAAGATCCAGATAACCTTTCAGGGGTAACGGAGCACCTTCGTGCACTTGACGGCATTGACTCTAATGAGGAGCATCCTGATTGATGCGCAGAGGACTCCTGTTTTAGGGGGAGGAACCTGCGGTTCAAAGAGGTCATGACTGGCCCCACCTCATTCAATCACAGTCAGAGGTGAAGCTCTGACTCACACCCAGGTCCATCTCATTCCAGAGCCCACATTTTCCCCAACATGCCTTGCTGCCTCACCCATTGACTAGTTCCAAATGCAGGCCTGGGCTTAGTCCACAAACTATAGGCTCCTGTTTCAGGGGCTGCTAGCTTCTCCAGTGTGGATCTAATCCAGGGGCGGCCAAACTTTTTGACTCGAGGGCCACAATGGGTTCTTAAACTGGACCGGAGGGCTGGAACAAAAGCATGGATGGAGTGTTTGTGTGAACTAATATAAATTCAAAGTAAACATCATTACATAAAAGGGTATGGTCTTTTTTTTTTTAGTTTTATTCATTTCAAACGGGCTGGATCCGGCCCGTGGGCCGTAGTTTGCCCACGGCTGATCTAATCCCATTGCAAGGCAATGCGCCTTGATTAAGCCGTACAGAGAGGGGAATACGGCATGGCCTTCCCCTCCAGCTGCAAGCCCTCGATAAAGGTGGACCTGTATACAGCCAAGCATGCGATGAGGCAGACCATGTTACTAAGACAGATGCTGCAGAGTGCTGCGGAGCACAGTGGGAGGAGTCTGGAAAGGCTTCGTGAAGGAAGCCACCCTTAAGCTGCGCTTCAAAGGGTTTCAATAGGGTTTCACAACAAAGGGAGAAAGGAAGAGGCAAGCATTGCACACCAAGGAAATAACCTAAGCAGAGACTTGACAACATAAAAATTGGAGGATGAAGGATATGAACTCATTTATATAGCAGGGTTTTTCTACATTATGTCTACTGTAGACTGAGTTGCCAAGTCATAGGAGGTAGTGTGTTGTGGAAGTTTGGGGGGCATTGGGAGAAGAGTGAGCAACACTCCAAGGTCTGAGAAGGCTCAGCAGCCACGCCCCGGGTCCTCTGGGAGCCTAAGCCAGTGATGGCGAACCTATGACACTCATTTTTTGGTTGATTTTTCTTTGTTAAATGGCATTTAAATATATAACGTAAATATCAAAAATATAAATCTTTGTATTACTGTGGTTGAAAATATCAAAAAAAATTCTATATGTGACATGGCACCAGAGTTAAGTTAGGGTTTTTCAAAACGCTGACACGCCGAGCTCAAAAGGTTCGCCATCACTGGCCTAAGCACTCCATCTCCTGCCTTATATGATAGGGTCTCAGGCTGGAAGCCCTTGACCTATTACAGGTCTCCAGGACTTGACTTGAGTCTCTTCCTGGCTCCACAGGAGATTCCGTCATCCAGAATGCATCCAACAGTGGCGTGGGGCAAGCAGTCATCCAGATCGCCGCAGCCCTGGGCCTGAGGACCATCAATGTGGTCCGAGACAGGTGCGTGGGGAGCCGGTATCCCAGATCCTGACTGCGTGTCGCATCCCTGCGTGTCCACCAGATGGCGCCCTTGCATAAGCGCGCCTCCTCCCGGATGGGTGTCAGCCTTGAGAAATGAAGTCCAGGTGGCTTTTGGCTATAGGATGAGTGAGTCTTTGAAATAGGAAGGGAAGACAGGAAGGAGGTGGAGACGGCCACTAGGAGTATTTGAAACTGGACTTGTGATAACGTGTGGTTTTTTCAAAACCAGTGTTCATATTTGGGGATGTTTTAAGCTGTGTTATTTTTTCTGTGAACCGTCTAACCCAGGGCCCTTTTTTCCCCTTGTATTTGTGTGGTACTTTGAAGTGCATTAAAAGATTGAAGGAGATGAGCAGGTTTTCCATCTCTGTTTCATAGATGAGAAAACTGAAATTTCGGAAAGAGGAGGCAACTTGCTCAGGGAGTCACAGCAAGTCGGTAGCAGACTTCATTTCCCGGCTTGTTCTGTTTCCCTCATAGCATCGTTTCCTTGAGCCTCACTGTCCACGAGTGTGGCCATGTCTGTCGGAAGCCCTGTCTTATTAGGAGAATTGACTCTCCCTTCAGTTCTCTATCCCCTCGGTTGTGCTAACAAAAATCATTGTTTGCCTTGGCCAAAGAGTCCCTGAGCCACTCCTGGGCTGGAGTTTGTTTGCACAATACTCAAGAGCCCCTTGAAAAGGAGAGGGGGGGGCAGAAAGGAAGTGGAGTTTGTTGTGTCCGTAGAAGAAATCAGGAAGTGAACTGCCTTTTCCCTGGCACAGATGGTTTCCAGCATCCCTGAGCTGGCAGGAGCTGTAGAAACCGCCCAGCCCAGCTCTCTCATGCCAGGGAGGAAACTGAGGCCAAGAGACGCTGGAGTACGATGAAACCGCATGGTCAGGCCCTGCCCGAGGCCTGGCTTAAACCCGATCCCAGCCTCCCGCAAAGAAACACGCTGTCACAGCTGTGGCCGAGCAGCCCCGGGAGCCTTTGGTGGAGAAAGTGAGCCGGTGTGACCGAGGTCCGTGTTTGGTTTCCAGACCTGACCTCCAGAAGCTGACCGACAGACTGAAGAACCTGGGGGCCGAGCATGTGATCACAGAAGAGGAGCTGAGGACACACGAGATGAAAAACGTCTTTAAGGTACCTAGGATGAGGGACGCTGCGCCTCCATTCATGCTCGCCCCCCTGAAGAAAGCGGACTGGAACTTGAGAAGCTGGGGCCTGGCTCCATTGTTCCTCTTCCCATCTTCCCTTGGCTCTTTGTGGAGGATAAAGCCCATCCCTCCGCCAGGGGGCGGCATGCAGTAAGCGCCCAGGTGCTGCGAGGGAGGCGGGAGACCTGTGGTTTGCAGTTTTGAGTATGTGATGGGCCACGTCAGTCCTCACAGCCGATGTGAATCTCAGCGCTGGGAGAGGAGCTGAGGAAACTGGGGCACAGAGAGGAAAGAGAAAGAAAAGAAGCAACATTTCCTGGGTACCTACCTTGCATTTTATCAGAGAATCCCACAAAAGCTCCACAAAGCAGGTACTATCTATTTTATAGACGAGGAAACCCAGACTCAGGAAAGATAAAGGATTTGACCAAGACCACACAGTCTTAAGTGGTGGAGGCAGGGCTGGCCCCAGTCTCTCTGAACTCCTGGCCTCAGAACCTTCCAGAACCTCCACCCCCAGCACGCCTAGTAAGTGACCAAACCACATCTCAGCCTCTTTTCACTGAACTCTGGAGCGACCAAACACACACGCACTCCCTCAAGAACACACCCTCTTGACAACATTTCTGAAGCAGTAGGTCTGATATAAACTGAGTTCAAAGTCCCAGGAGGGGCGCACATGGCGAAAGGAAGTCCTTGGAAATGGGTTGTAGGGACCCTCAGTGTATTCTTTCTCAGAGGTGGGCTCTGAATGAAATCCTCAAACAGAGAACAGGACTCGGCTGGTAAAGAAAAGGCCATTCCAGGCAGGAAAAAAAGAGTTGTAAGGCAAGAACATCCCGTTTTCTTCGCTCCCTCCTGACACAGGGGCCTGGGAAATGCTGTTCGTAGCAGCTTCAAGACCCACATGTAGAGTGGTAGCTCCCTCACCGCAGGTTCCTTATCTTCCAGGACATGCCTCAGCCACGGCTCGCTCTCAACTGTGTCGGCGGGAAAAGCTCCACAGAGCTGCTGCGGCACTTAGCGTAAGTCCCTCGGCCCTGCAGGTCCAGATCGCCGGCGCCCTCCGCGTCTGAGCTGGGAGGACCATCAGGTGAACAGCCCCGAGGCCAGGGCAAGCCGAGCCGAGGCAGGTCAGCAGGGGCCTGAGTAGGAAACTGGGGCCAAAGTTAAGTCCTACCCAGGTCTCTGGGCACTTCCTCTCTCAGCCGCCTTCATCACAGGTGACTGAGAGCCCATCCAGCTGTGCTTTCCCAAGGGACCCGCTTTGTTCGTCTCTGAGAGGGGAGTGGTTAAGGATTCACAACCTAAGGGCATCTTAAAAAGTCACTTAGTCCTAGCTTATTAGCTTTTAAATTTTTTATTAGCTTTTAAAAATAGATTCTAATTTTAGAGGTAGCATGATGCGTGTTACAAAACATTCTGAAAGCCTATGAAAGTTCAAAGGAAAACTGAAAGTGCAGAGGCTGCCTCTCATCCCACCGCTGAGGGGGATGCGCACCGTGGACAGTTAGCAGTGCCTGTCCTCCCATTCTTTTCCCTTTCATGGGAACTCCGCCGGAGTGTGCCTGAAAGGCCCCTTCCCAGCTGAGGCAGGCATCCCCTAAACTAGTAGTTAACACGTGTTTGCTAGCCCTCACCAGCGCCGGGGTATAGAGATGGCTAGAACTCACGGGCTAGATGGGTCATTGATCAAAGAGCTGTGAAAACAAGGGAGTTCACCATGCACTGAACTCTGTGCAGGAGCTTGAGGGAACCCCCCCACAGCCACCTAGGCCAGGGGTACTAATCCCATCCCGTTTGTACAAGGCCCAGAGAGGGCAGTCACCTACCCCAGGTCTAGGAAGCAGCAGAGCCAGGCTCAGCCCTACTCTGGGCACCCTCCAAGGCAAACTGCAATCCCATGCCACTCGTTACAGGAGGAAGTTGGCGATCTGGACCAATGTCAATCCCATGCCCACAGTTGCATGCCTATAAGTGGAGTGGAGCCAGACTGAACTCGGGTCTTGAGCTCTTCTCAGGAGAGCATGCTTCTTTGCAGCAGCTCATCAGAGCCTGACGGGGTGGCTATATCCGTGGGTTCCCACCCCTGCCTAAACACCCAGGTCATCTGGAGGGGGATAGGTCGTTAGGTCAGGGGTGGGACCTAGGAACCTGTATTTGGGTCCTTCCCAGGGATTCTGCAAGCAAGGTTTAGGGTTTAGGGTTGGAATAGAAGCGCTGTGGCAGCTTCCAGAAGGGCTCTGAATCTGCCTGCACCCATTCTGTTCTCTGACTTTTCAGACCTGGAGGAACCATGGTGACCTATGGAGGGATGGCCAAGCAGCCTGTCATCGCTTCTGTGGTAAGCTGGTGGTGGGGAGGGGGCAGCCTGGAGATGGGCCAGACCCCACAGTTGTGTAAACTCAGGCAGTTTCCCTGTCTCTGGGATTCAGAGAATGTGTACCTTAAGGGGTATCTGAAGCTCTTGGCCTCAGAGCCCCAACATGTCCTTCTGTGCCCACAGAGCCAGCTCATTTTTAAGGATCTCAAACTTCGGGGCTTTTGGTTGTCCCAGTGGAAGAAGGACCATAGTCCAGGTGAGTACATGACAGCCCTTTGCCAGGGGTCACACAAGAGGGCAGTGCCTGCTGCAGAAGTGACCAGCCTGTCTGAGCCCTGGATGGGTGCTTAGACCCCAACCCTACGACAGGACAAAGGAGAACAGCCTCTAACTAAGCTACAGTGAGCAAATAGTTATTGGACTAAAGTGGGCTAGTTCTTGGGGGCATAACATTGAACAGGGCACACACCGCCCCCTTCCTTGAAGAGCCGGCGGTGGGGAAGACCGCCATAGGAGACGACCAAGTGAAGAAAACCAGTGCTGCAGCCAGCCTGCCTGGGCCCCGCCACTGCTGGCTGTAGGTTGCGTCTAGCCTCGCTGTGGGACCTGGACAAGTTACTCAGCGTCTGCTCAGTCTAAATGCCATAATAGTTTCAAGTATTATTAGCCCTGTTTGACAGAAGAGGAGACTGAGGCTCAGAGTGGTTCAGTCGCTTTCCCAAAGCCACCCCAGCTCCGGAGTGTGCAGCCAGGATGTGACCAGCTAGTGTCTCTGACTCCAGAACCCGAGCCGGGACACTGCTCTTCCTTCCTGGAGGCCCGGTCCCCAGACAGGGACCCCCAGCTGAGACTGAAGAATGAGGGGTTATCCACGTGAAGGGGAGGACAGTGGTGGCATGAATGGGGTGTTCCAGGTCGAAAACCAGCACGTGCAAAAGCCCATGAGGAGGTGGACACATTGGTTGTAACCACATTATAAAAGGCCGTCTACGTCTTTTTAAGGAGTTCAGGCTCTATCTTAAGGCAATTAGGGAGCCGTTGAAGTGTTCTAAGCAGGGTAGATATGATGGGATGTGAATGTTGGGTGAATTGACATCTATGAAAAAACACTTCTCAGCCAAGCCCTTCACTTCTTATCTTCCTGTACCATAGTGGGCCCTTAGTGGTGGGCGGGGGAGAGAGTCGGAGGGGGGGTGTTGGTGGCCTCAGCTCATGGGGCTTTAAGGGAGTCCTGGGCTCCTTTTCCTGAGCAAAGTTCATCAGTTCCACATCAGTAGTGCCAGGCACACCCACCTCCCTCCCTGCACCCCTTCTGGCTTCCCAGCCTGGAAGTAATCCTGCCCCTCCCACCATTCAGACTCCAGGTTACACCCGAGTCAGGTTCTGTGGGTCTGAGCCACCACTCTGCCTGCCCGTCAGTTCCTGGGGCCACTCCCCATGTTCCTCTGTCCCCACCCTGGCTCTCCCTGACCTGAAAACAGGCGGGGACCAGGCAGCCTCCACAGCCGGCCTGTCTGTGGCCAAGCCCTGGGCTCTCAAAGACTTGCCTGGCGCTCAGCACCAGCGGAGGTGACTTGTGCCATCGTACGAGGCCCTGCTGCTGCTGCACCCCTGTCTGACTTCCTCCAACCTCCCACAGACCAATTCAAGGAGCTGATCCTCACTCTGTGCGATCTCATCCGCCGAGGCCAGCTCGCGGCTCCCGCCTGCTCCGAGGTCCCACTGCAGGACTACCAGTGTGCCTTGGAAACCTCCATGCAGCCCTTCTTGTCTTCAAAACAGATTCTCACCATGTGATACTCCCAGAGGAGCCAGGGCAAGTGGGAAGGGATGTGGATCAACAGGACTGGTTTGGGCCCCTTAGTGTGGGCCCTCAACCTTCCCGGCTGCCCCTCTCCTCACTGCCACTTCCCACGAGGAGAGCTGTGAAGCTAGCCCAGGCCCCCAGGGCCAGCCTCAGGGTATCTAATAAAGTCTGAACTTCCTGAAAACAAACAAACAAGACCCATAGAGTCATCCCTGTGGGGAAGGACCATCCCTGCGCCTGCCACTTCCCAGGACTTAGCAGCTCCTGCTGCCCAGCCTCCATTTGTGCCCCAGCGATCATTTCCTGACACCCTGAAAGCAACGCCAGGGTGGGCCTGGCAGGTACAAAAGCCAGTGACATGCAATCTCTGCCCTCGAGCTGTCCAAGCCCATAGAGGAGAACCTTCTAAAAGGGAAGGTCCACTCAGCCTCAGTGGTGCGTGGCTCAGGCTGGGGCAGGGGGAGTGGATGCCAGCCTGAGGAACAGGAAATGTGGGCTTAGGTAGCTGGACCACCCTCACGGAAAGACCTTTCTAACTGGGATGTTAGAAAGGTGTTAGTTCCACCTGTGGTTCTCAACCTGCAGTCATCTTGCCTCCAGGGGACTTTTGATAATTACCTGGAGACATTGTCACAATGGAGAGGGTGCTGCCTGCATCTAGTGAGAAGTCAGTGATGCTGCTAAAAAACAACCTGCAGTGCACAGAACAGCCTCCCCCAACTAAGGTTATCCCGCCCAACCCTGGCTGGTTTGGCTCAGTGGATAGAGCCTTGGCCTGTGGACTGAAGGGCCCCAGGTTCGATTCCAGTCCAGGTATATACCTCGGTTACAGGCTCCTCCCTGGCCCGGGCCTTGGACAGGGCTCATGCAGGAGGCAACCAATCGATGTGTTTCTCTCACATTGATGTTTCTTGCTGTCTTTCTCTCTTCCACTTTCTCTAAAAAGCAATGGGAAAATAAATATCCTCAGGTGAAGATTGAAAAAAAAAAAGAATTATTCAGTCCAAAATGCCATAGTGCCACTGTTGAGAAACCCTGCATTAACCCAATAATCCCACTGTTACCATAGAGATCAACGTGCTAAAGAAGACACACGTCAGTGCTAGGAGCATAACGAAGGTCTTGTCCCAGGCCTGGGTCAGGATGCCTTCCTACAGTGACGCTTGAAAGTGGGCCCTGAAAAGTGAGTAGCTTATTCCAAGAGAATTTGACATTATGTGACTTTTTTGATGTTTGCTTCATGATCCACTCACCCAAAGCAAAGAACTAGACTCTGGATGCCTCCCTTATCAGATGTCTCCCTTATCACTTGGCCCCCTGTCCCTTAGCTCAAGAGCCTCCTTCAGGGAGTCCTTACTGGGTGACTAGTGCGTGCCTGAGTCTGTGGATGCCCGTGAGGGATGTAGGGCTGGCCCTTAGCCTAGTGCAGGGGACAGACCTTTACTGTATACTAATGACAGATACAGAGGTGTTCGTGGCAGCAGGGACACAGCAGCTCTGCCTGAGGGTTTACGGAAGGTTTCCCGGAGGAAATGTCACAGAAAATTTTGAAGGCCTAGCAGGAAAAGGTGCACCAAGCAAAACCAACAGCATGTGTGGTTGGAGCCTGGCACTTGGGCAACTGCCAACAAGCAAGTGTAGCCACTGCCAAAGCCTGGGGGGAGTGTGAGGACCGGTGGAAAGGGTAGGCAGGTGTCAAAACAGACTTGTCCTCAAGACCAGGGAGGCACTCAGGGGTTGTAAGCAGTGGAGCGATGCGGAAACATGCTCCGAAGGCCAGAGTCCACTCGGGTTTAGTTGCACGCCAGCATGTACACAGGCTCCTGGCATGACCCTGTGTCTTTGGGATATCTTGTGTGTCCTCTGCAGAAAGCCCTCAGCTTCAGCCTGGGGCTGGGGAAGGTCCGCAGGTGCCCTCTGGATGAGATTTGCCACCTTATACACCTGGTTTCAGGATCAGCTCCAACTCCTCCAAGTCCGTCTCATCCCCTGTCCTCTATCCTCGAGGTTAGGGGGATGATTTGTATAGATGGCCGATGTGGCAAGTGAAAAACGCCTGAGAGGTAGTAGGGGGCTGCCCAAAGGCCGTAGGAGTGAAAGTTATGATTAGGTTCCTCAGGCAGTCCACAGTGGGGTTTAGAGTGATGAACCTGCAGCCCCGAAGAAGGAGCAGACCTGGTATGGACTGGGAGGAGGCAGACAGGAAGCAGTAACACCATGGTTAGAGACCTCAGGGAGTGCGGTGCAAACTGTCCTAAGGACAGTACCTCTAGGGACCTGGAGGTGACAGTTGGGTTGGACTTAGATGAATGATCATTGCTTCCTCAGGAAAGGGAGACAAGCATTACAGACTAAGGGACCAGATAAGTAAAAGTTATAGAGACAGAACATTTAGGCCTAAATCTTCTGATTTTCCCCAAATATCCATTCTCCTCCTAAGATTTAAAACTGATGACTTTTACATGGGTACGCAGTAGACTGGAATAAACACTGCTTCCCTGCCTCCCTGGCAGCAGACAAGGTCTGTCCCGTGTGATGTAAGTAGAGAAGACAGGTGTCAGCTCTTAGGAACCTATATCTGAACTCTTTCTATCCTGAACTTTTTCTTCCACTTCCACATTTTTCCTGGCTGGGATACAGAGGAATTTGCCCAGCCATCTTTGACCATGTTAAGGATGGAACACGCCCAGCCATAGTGGCTCAGTAGTTGAGCACTGACCTATGAACCAGGAGGTCACAGGCCTGGTCAGAGCATATGCTCAGGTTGCAGGCTCAATCCCTGATCGTGCAGGAGGCAGCCAATCAATGATTCTCTCTCATCTTTGATGTTTCTATCTCTCCCTCTCCCTTCCTCTCTGAAATACACACACACACACACACACTGAGTGGCCAGATTATTATGACCACCTGACGTTTGTAGGCAAATTAGCCATACACTGCATCGTATGGGATATGGAAGCCGAAGGCCTGTTCGAACACCTTTGCTGTCTGCAATTACCAAGATAAAACGTCTCCAATTCACACAGGAACACAAGGATTGGACAGTTGAGCATTGGAAAAAAGTCATGTGGTCCGATGAATCACGTTTCCAATTGCATCATGCAGATGGCAGAGTGAGAATTTGGCGGAAACAGCATGAAAGCATGCACCCCACATGCATGAGTAAAACCCTTCAAGCTGGTGGGGCAGTGTTATGGTTTGGGGCATGTTTTCCCGGCATGATTTGGGCCCTTTAATTCGTGTGGAACAACGTCTGAATAGCACAACATACCTAAGTATCGTTGCTGATCAAGTTCATCCTATCATGTTGATGGCGTATCCCAATGGAGATGGCTTCTTCCAATAAGACAGTGCGCCATGCCACGGTGCTCGTATTGTGCAGGAGTGGTTTCAAGAACATGAGGGAGACTTTACCTTGCTTAGGTGGCCCCCACAATCACCAGATCTCAATCCAATTGAGCATTTGTGGGACGAAGTTAAAAGAGCCATCAGGCAGCTGGTTCCACAACCATCAAATCTCACAGAACTGGACAGTGCTATTCATCAGGCATGGTGTCAGATTCCTCACATCACCTTTCAACATCTCGTGGAGTCAATGCCAAGAAGAATCGCCAGAGTATTGAAGGCAAAAGGTGGCCCAACGAAGTACTGATGGGGTGGTCATAATAATCTGGCCACTCCCGTTCACATATATCCCACATTCAAAGGCTGTTAAATCACATTGTTTACCCATATCTTCAGGAAAAAAATCACTTCTGTTGTGGTAAACAACCTGCTTCCCTATTTATAATGGTCTGGCCCTCTGGCAACTTCAGAGCGAAATTATAGCTAATTTGCCTACAAACGCCAGGTGGCCATAATAATATGGCCACTCAGTGTGTGTGTGTGTGTGTGTGTGTGTGTGTGTGTGTGTGTACTAGAGGCCCAGTGCACAAAATTCGTGCATGGGGCGGGGGGTGTCCCTCAGCCCAGCCTGCACCCTCTCCAATCTGGGACCCTTCAAGGAATGTCCGACTGCTGGTTTAGGCCCAGTCCCACAGGGATCCCTCTCACAATCCAGGACTGCTGGCTCACAACCACTCACCTGCCTGCCTGCCTGATTGCCCCTAACCACTCCCCTGCCAGCCTGATCGACACCTAACTGCTCCCCTGCTGGCCTGATTGCCCCCAACTACCCCCTGCCAGCCCGGTTGCCCCCAACTGCCCTCCCCTGTAGGCCTAGTCATGGTCACCCCTAACTGCCCTCCCCTGCAGGCCTGGTTGCCCCCAACTGCCCTTCCCTGCCAGCCTGGTCACCCCTAACTGCCCTCCCCTGCCAGCCATCTTGTGGTGGCCATCTTTGACCACATGGGGTGGCCATCTTGTGTGAGGGTGTCACAGTCAATTTGCATATTACCTCTTTATTATATAGGATATTTTAAAAATAATGGAACAGCAATGAAATCATCAGAGACTGGGTCCCTGACACCCAGCAGCCCTGACTGCCCACCTCAGGACTTGAGAGATAAGTTTTACTTAAGAAATAAGCTTCTGCCGAAACCGGTTTGGCTCAGTGGATAGAGCGTCGGCCTGCAGGCTGAAGGGTCCCAGGTTCGATTCCGGTCAAGGGCATGTACCTGGGTTGCGGGCACATCCCCAGTGGGAGATGTGCAGGAGGCAGCTGATCGATGTTTCTCGCTCATCGATGTTTCTAACTATCTCTCTCCTTTCCTCGCTGTAAAAAATCAATGAAATATATTTAAAAAAAAAAAAAGAAAGAAGCTTCTAGGCCTTGGGTGGGTAGCTCAGTTAGGTAGAATATCACCCTGACACACCAAGGTTGTGGGTTTGCTCTCTTGTCAGGGCACATATAAGAATCAACCAATGAATGCATAAATAAGTGGAACAATGAATTGATGTTCCTCTCTCTCCCCCGCCCCACTTCCTCTCTAGAAACCAATTTTTTAAAAAAGAAAGAAGCACTAAACTTGTATGTTATTTAATCCCTTAGTGTTTGGGCTTTCTCTAAACCTAATCAAAACTGCTACATATTCTATAATTCAATTTATATTGAAATGAAGTCAATCAATCTGAAGCTGAAAAAGTGAATTATTGCCGTTAGTAATTCCCAGCTAAGGAAGGCAGACTTTATCCCATTAGCAGTAAAAAAAAAAAAAATATTTCTGAGCCAGGTCAAACTGTACTTTAG